TCAGCTCTGGCCATTGTGGTCATTTGGGGAGTGAACCAGCAGATGGAAGACCTCGTTCTCTCTCTGGCTCTACCTCTCTTTGTAACTCTGTCTTTCAAAAAAAAAAAAAATGCTTGAGCACAGTGTGTGCAAGAATTAGAACCTGCTCCTGTACATTAGAAAATAAAATTAAAAAAAAAAAAATCCTAAACCTTGGGACTTAGAGCAGTGATCAAAAGAGATGAATGATCCAATGATCCAAAATAGGTTGTGAAATGCTAATGGGGGGGTGGGGGGAGAGAAGAGACAGAAAGAGAGAGGAGGCTGGAACAACTGGATGAACTAGACAGAAGGGAGCCTATTTGCATGTGAACAGAATCTTTGCCCACATACAGTAAGGTTTGGTTGGCAAAGGCTCAGAACCAGGATTCTGGGGTCAGCAGGCCTGGTTCCACCAGAGCTATACTGGCTCCAGTGCTGTCATCTGTATAACAGGAGAATAATAAGTTCATCTCACATGGCTGCTGTGAGCATTAAATGAGTTAGTAGATATGAAGTGCCTGCAACAGGATCTGGTGTACTGAATACTTGCCATCATTAAAAGTCTTTCTGTAAATCAAGATGATCTGGAAAAGTTGCATGCTTTAAACAGTTTGTAAACGTCAAAGAAGTTATGAGAAAATGAGACGTGACAATGAGCATACAAACCTTTAGAAATCTAAAGAGATCCATTCTTACATAGACTGAAAAATCACATTCCCAATATCCTTTTTATTTGCTTAAATTATTTGACTTTCCTCCTACTGTTATCCTTAAAACTGAAATAAAGGAATCATCAAAAATTAAGTGACTGACAGTCTCAAATGCCTTCTCTTGCATCTCCAAGTCCCTGGCTGTAATTGGTTACAAGTGTAGACGTGAATAAAATCACCATTGGAAATGTTCAATTGTACATCAACAACTTACACTTGCTACAGCTCTACTACGGAACGCACCAAATTCACAATGAAACACCAAGTTAAAAAAATGGAAGAATTACTAGGAGTGATTAATATGCCTGCATCCCACATCGGAGTGCCTGTGTTCAATCCCTGGCTCCAATTTCTGCTAATGCAGACACTAGGAGGCAGCAAGTAATGGCTCAAGTAATTGGCTTCCAACCACCTTGCATTTCTGGCTCTGGACTCCAGTTCCAACCTAGAACAGACCTTTGCAGGCATCTGGGGAGTGAGCCAGGGCATGGGAGCTCTTGCTTGTCTGCCTGTCTGCCTCTCAAAGAAATTAAAGAATAAAAATCAATACTACATGTATGTGTTAAGTATTAGATTACAGAAAAAAAGGTGTTTAGTGTCTGAATTCCTTTTCAACACTCTTCAGAAAAAAAAAAAGTGGATGAAAATACAAAAATTTCTTAATGACTGCATTTCTTAGATCTGTGAAAGTAGCAGGCTAAACTTCAGCAACCAATTTCACCATGGAAGATGTGGCTTTTTACTGCCGGGAGAGGAAATCTCATGGTCACTTATTCTAAGCCTTGGCAAAAAACTCCTTCTCTGAAGAAAGATTGCTAACCTTAATTGAAGCTTTTTTATTAACACTTCAGAAATGAGATATATACCATGAAACCTTATTCATCTGTTGCCTCTAATTCTTATTTTTGGAGTTAATCTTTTAACTTTTATAGCCCAAAGACAAATTTCAGGGAATTCCTACTAGAATTAAGGGACTCTGGAGAATTCTCACCAAATTACCAAATTTATGGCACTGATATGATATGAATGATCACTCACTATGCAACAGTCAATAACATTCTAATGCAATATTTTTGTGGCTTAGAATAACTTTAACTTTCATGACATTATTAAGATAACACTAAGTTACTCACAGAATTAAAAAAAATATGCTTTTAACTTCTTGAACTGAATGCCCAATAACTCATTATGAAGTACTGACTGGTAAGTTTTGCTAACAGCAGATCAGAAGAGGAAGGACATACTTTGAACCTATAAGACGTGTTCCTTTGCTTGAGTTAGCCTCCTTGTTCTTTGCACTAATATTAGAGTTGCTGTTACCATGGAAGGGGCAACCATTTAATTGCTATGCTCTCTTTAAATTTATGCACTGCCACTTTATCCTTGTAGTTCTGGATCTCCCTGTAATGGATGTAATTATGATGATTCTTGGAAAATTATTCATTTTAACACATATTGAATGCTTGTTATATTCAAGGGATTAGGTTAAATTTTAAAAAAATTTTAGATTGAGCAAAGTTAGGAATTGACAACTATTTAAATAAAATTTTATTTTTAAGAGTTGACATTTTAATTTAAATATCGAGGATGATAACATAGCAAGGAAAAGGTCACACTGGATAAAAGGAAAATCAGATTTTACACGCGCTTGCTATTTGATAATGGCTAGTGTAAACAGTTTAAACTCATTACTGTAGGATTTATTATTTTAATGGTATTAGAAGTAACTGCTCAAGAGAACTTTATTTTCTTGTTTCAACAAAGAATGGCAATATAGTTTTGCATATGAGACCTACTATACATGCTTAAAATTCGATTAAATGTGTCACGTTTATTTACACAAAGCCAAATATATGAAAGGGGATCTTTTAAAAAAAACTTTATTTGAGAAAGGAAGAGACTTATAACAGAAGGCAAGAAGGGAAACATACAAACAATATATTTACAACACGAAACAAGAGATCACCTTCAAGGGTGTAAATTATAATAAATACAGTAGATTTGAAAAGAGACATTTCTCAATTAGTTCTACGATGAGTTAAGCTCAGCTTTCCTTTACACTGGCTCCAGGTAGCTTCTTAATTAAATCCAAAGACTATCAAATTCAAACAATTAATGTCCACCAACTCGTCTGATGAAGTTCTCTCAAATGACATTATAAAAAATAGGTTTTTCTTGTTTGTGATTACATATCTTTGAAGTAATATTATACAAAAGTCTGCTCAGCCACATGTTCCTCCCCAAATAAAATGTATTTTAAAAGATGCACTATCCCTTTTTTTATGAGATTGAAAAAAGACTTTAGAGAAAATGAATATTTATGAGATGGAAAAATATACAATTTTATCTCAGGCATGCCATATTTTTAATGCAAAACAACTGACAAGAAGTCATTTTAATATGAAGGAAAATACTAACCAAAATATGTTGGTGATCTGGAGTGTTGTCTATTCCAGCTATTTGTCAAATTATCAGAAGGACTTTCATTGTATGGAAAAGTTTTAAACTTTCTAAATGCTAGTTATGTTAATTTAATTTGAATGGAGACTTTTTAAAAAAGGATAATGTATCTTTAGCAGTCACATTTTTTAAAGAAATATTTTTAAATGTCACAGCAAAATGTAAACAACACGGGCCAATAACATACAGTCGAACAATGTCTACATTTGGCAAAACTGCTATATCTCCTTTGAAACAGGATACTATACCTTAAAATACCTCAGATTTAGAAATATAAATATTTTAATAGAAAAAACCTCACAAAGATTCTAGGTCAATTTGGATTATCCATATTAAAGGGGTCTTAATACAAGGAACCTTTAACTAGCTTAACAAAAGTAAACCTATAAAACAAGGTAAACATATCAAAAGGGAATATGAAGGAAATGTTCCAGTGAAAAGCTTCCGTAACAATTTCCCTACTTGTGGTGTTATTTTCTTAGACAATAAATCAATTCATAGAGTGCCCTTTAAAAACAGAAAGAGTAAAACACTATCCTCAGGTTCTTTTTTATTTTTTTCTCCTACATTCCTCAGTACATGAATCACTTGGACTTCCTGTTTCCACAAGGCATTTCCTGTTCAGCCTCACAGACTGGGTTTTCTGTAGGAGACCAGCAGGAACCTGACAAAGAACTGACTTAAATAAACATTGTTTTCTGCTGCCTTCAAAGGTATTCGTATTTTGTAGCATCGAAGGACATTATCCTTTTGAAGATGCATTATGTACAAGTAAATTCTTTAGTTCAACCACACGTGCCTAATTTTTTTATTTGCCAGAATGGTATGGTAGATGTCATGTCATTAAGAAATTATCTAGTGATAATGACTAACAAATATGATACACCTTCTTTTAAAAACTGAACTTGGCATCAGATAATACTCCAACTACTGCTGTGTTTTCTGCAATTATGGCTACAATACAGTAACTCATTGGACCATAAACTGCACATTACTGCTCACCAACATTTGCATCTGCTTCGTTTGATCTTTGTTTTCATTAGACAATATAATCAAAATGCACAACGTGTAAGTAAAACGTGCAGTGCTACGTGAGACATCATGAAATCTTGAAAGTAGCGCTGCAATTTGCATCTACATATTCAAACCACCTGTACTCCTAATATTTTCAATTGCAATCTACACAATAACCTAGGACTACTGGCATGGTGATTAGAACATTTCTAATTAACAAGAACCAAAAAAAAAAAAAATAAGAGAGAGAGAGGGGGAAGGGGAAAGCAGGGGTAGATTGCCTTTGACAGTGTTTAAGACTGTACTATGATACAATATGTACAGTGATGTGAAAGTTGAATTCTACATGTTTGAAAAAATCCAAAACCAATAGAATGCTTCATTGATCAGCCTGGAAGAGTACATCCAGCACTCACCGATCTCCACAGATAAACTACAAACAGCAGTGAGATCATTTTCCTTAGAAGTAACTGATAGAGCAGGCTATGGGATGAACTGAAAGCCTATTTGTTGCTTGGATATTACGTAGCACAATTTGAGTACAACAGGTAATGCCGTGATCAGTGGCGTTTCAAAGAAACCTTGCTATCTATACAGAGGTCAGTCTATCCAGAGATCTCTATATAGATATATACATTTACCTGTGTTAGTTAGAAATGCTTACACTCTAAAATGAAATCATCCAGAGACAGAAACGGATAGGAAATGATATCCATTGACCAAAACCTACGGTGCATATCACGTTCAGATAATAACTTTAATTACAAATCCTGGAGCTAAATCTTTGCCTATTACCTGTTGCATAAAAGCAGCCTGCTCCCCAGATTCCATTTCCTGGATCTGAGCATCTTCATCGCTGTCCACTGGTTCCTCCTTTATCTTCACAGCCCCAACTTGTCCCAGTGTGTCATCCACACAGGCACTGCTGTCGCTCCTAGTGCTGCTGCCACTAGAGGGCGCTCTGTCTTCCTGCATCGCCTGGTCCCCCTGAAGTTCTTCCTCTGCTTCCTCCAGGTGACTGCCTGGTGCCTTCAGTTGCTCAATAGATTTCGAGAGCAGCTAGAAGAGAGTGTTCAGGGGTTCAGAATTCAATGGGTCTTGATGGCAACAGAAAAGCAAATTACACTTTTGATTCCTAACTTCAGGACACTTTGATTTCTAATCATTGATTATGAGTTTTGGAATGAATTGTGTGCAACATGGATCCATATCAGTCTGATGCTTTGCATGCCATGTTGGCGGGGCAAGCAGGGGGTGTGATGTCGTGGATTTTTTTTTTGATGGTTTACTTTCTAATGCACGCAGAAAATGAAGAGAAAAGACTGAATAAGGTTTGTGCTTGGAATCCATGAAACTTTCACAAGGACAGATTTTGCTGAGCCAGTGTAATCCAAAATAATCCTAGGAATGATGCTTTTCTCAAAAGTGTAAAGGATGTGATGAAAAAGTTCCACATTCAACATCGTCAACAAATGTCAAAAACTATTAAAGCCAGAAACCTAAATGCTAAAATTCCTTTATGTCTACTTTTCCTTTTCCTGTATGGTCAAATGACAGTGAAAACCACGAAGTTCCTTCTTCTACATACTTGTAAAACAAAGATATTCACTTTGAAATTCGGAACTTTAAAATGCTTTTGAAAATACAAAGACATTATATGAACAGGTACAAATGGAAATCAAATAATGTGAAAGAACCAGTTATCATTTAATTAGAAAATTATTATGTAGACACTTTATTTTATAAATTAAATCTGCATTGCATTGAATGTTTAATAACTTAAAAAGCACATTCATTAACTGCTAATGATTTTGAAAGATACTTTGTTAATATACTTAATGTAAACCATGGCAAAATACTGCAGCATCAAAGCTCAACAAACGGCGAAAATAAATGTCTCGAGATGATTTCATCTCACAGAGGCCCTATTGACTGGTCATCTGTACATCTCAAACTGTGTTTTCAAAAGTGGTTAGAGTTTTCTGCTAAGTCAATCCTATGTAAGCTACATGCCAATTATCTTAACTAGCTGCACACTTACAAGACCAACACAGAAACCATGAACACAGGCTTTTCCACATACAATTCAAGTGCACCTCCCACTCAGACACAAATGGGCTTAAAACCTAAACCCATGTTTTAAAGTTTTGAATACCTAAGCACTGAAACTTTGAAGAGCAGCTTTATATACATTTCTCCGATCTACACAACATCCAATGGAGCCGAGTAGGTGGACAAAACCCTTTAATCTCTCTGAAGGTAGATTCACTGGGAGCATTCATTCATTTGTTCAACAGGTATTTATTGAGGGCCTACCATGTTCAAGACATTATGCTAAGCATAGGGAAAATGGCTAATAATGCTGCCCTCACAGCTTAGTGCATCAAAAGTCATCTAACAGAAAAATGCAGTCTTATTTTCAACTACTATGAGGGCTTCCAGGAAAGGAACACAGGGTGTTCCTAGGAGCACACGCTGGTTGGCATTGGAGCGGGAATGGGAAATGATAGGGCAGGGTCCACAGGGAAGGGCTGTGTTCAGTGCGGGAGATGAAGGATGCAGCATGGAAAGGGGTTGGCCGGATATATGGGAGGGGTGGCAATCGGCCAGGCAGGGAAGGGCAGCATTTCCAGCAGCAGGCTCGGTGACTGCAATCCTAGACTGGACCAAGAGCCAAGGGAAATGCTGAAGGATGATGCTGGAGAGAATGACACAGTCCATAATATTTGTGGGCTGGAAAGTCAGAATCTACAAAAATAAAACATAACAGGATAAACCATATGGAATGCTAAATATCACCCAATCCTAAATCAGACATGATCAAGCTAAGAAAGGACCGGCATGGTGTGGCCAGTAAAGCCACCTCATGCAGTGCCAGCATCTCATAAGTGCTCTGGTTCATGTCCTGGCTGCTCTTTTTCTGATCCAGCTCCATAATCATGGCCTGGGAAAAGCAGCGGAAGATAGTTCAGGTGCTTGGGCTTCTGCTTCTCACGTGGGAGACCTGGAAGAAGCTCTTGGACCTGTCTTTGGCCTGGCCCAGCCCTGGCTGTCACAGCCATCTGTAGAGTGAACCAGTGGATGGAAGACCTCTCTCTCTTTCTTTGTCTCTGTGTCTCTCTCTCTGTAATTCTGCCTTTCAACTAAATAAAAATATCTTGAAAAAACTCACATCAAAATGAAGAACACAAATTTAAATATGAATTTCCTTTCTGCCTATAATCTAACTTCTATTGTACCTGGGCACTTAGTGTAAGAGAAATATTTATCTTGCCATGCTCTACATGCTCATAAGTATTTTTTATAAAACTATTTCTAGGGGCTGGCGCTGGGGCATAGCAGGTGAAGCCGCCACCTGCAGTGCCAGCATCCCACATGGGTGCCAGTTCGAGCACCAGCTGCTCCACTTCTGATCCAGCTCTCTGCTCTGACTTGGGAAAGCAGTGGAAAATGGCCCAAGTGCTTGGGCCCCTGCACCTGCATGGGAGACCCAGAAGAAGCGCTTGGCTCTTGGCTTCGGATCAGTACAACTCCAGCCATTACAGCCATTTGAGGAGTGAACCTGCAGATGGAAGACCTCTTTCTCTGCCTCTGCCTCTCTGTAAACTCTGCCTTTCATATAAATGCATAAATATTTTTTTAAAAGAAAAGCTATTTCTAGGACTTTTATAAAAATTGTGAACACTTATTAGCTCTTCATGTCTTAAATACCTAATATTTTGCACACTGCTTAGATGCTGGAGAAATGAGGCCAAACAGTAGTAATGTATTTTGACTACAAAATAATAGGACCCCATCCAATTGGCTATTAGAGAAAGAACATGTAATAAAGCAAGATTGTTTAAAGGAAAATTTCCAGTTTTGTCTGCGAGAGCAGGGATAAAAACATCAGGTGACGAACACCCACTTAATCTTTTTTTAAAATTTTAAGTCATACAAATTTCACATATTTCATATATACAGATTTAGGAACATACTGGGACTCTTCCTTACCCTCCCTCCCACCCACACTCCAACCCTTCTTCCCCCTCCCTCTCGGATTCCCATTCTTAATTTTTACAATGATCTATTTTCTGTACACTTAGTGATTGTATAGTTAACCCTATTCTAAGTAAAGGAGTTCTGCAAATGATATGAAGAGAAACAAAACAAAACAAGACAAGAAAAAACAAAACAAGATTGTTCCTCAGTGGAAAAGACAATGGCTATAAACAATCATCCATTCTCAAAATGTCTACTTCACTCCAACACATTGCATTTCAGTATTCTATTAGTTGCATTGGATTAGGAAAACAGATGATTTCTATCTTTTTGGGACTGGCTTATCTCACTAAGTATAATAGTTTCCAGTTGCATCTATCTTATTGCAAAAGACAGGATTTTTTTTTTATAGCTGAGTCATACTCCATGGTGTATATATACCATAGTTTCTTTATCCAGTCAATAGTTGATGGACATGTGGGTTGATTCCATATCTTAGCTATTGTGAATTGTGCTGCAATGAACATGGGGGTACAGATCACTCTTTCATATACTAATTTCCTTTCGTTTGAACACCCACTCATTCTTGAGAGGGGAGAGAGTTAAAGAGAGAGAGAGAGAGAGAGAGATGGAGAACGAGAGAAAGAGAGAGAGAGATCATCAGTCCATCCTTCAGCTCTTACACCCAATCCTCACCTCAGACTATACAACACAGCAGATGAGAGGAACCAGAGAGGGGAAAGGATTTGTTGGAGACAAGTATTAGCCAATGGAAGAGGCTGGAGTCCCTCAGGGGAAGTTTGTGCAAGAAGATGGGTGACAACTCATCTTCTGTACAGAAGCTCACTGACTGTGGACCCTCTCTGTCCATTGACCACAGCTTGCTTAGTTAGCAAGGTCAATGGGAGCCTACTCATCAGAACTGCTGGCCAAGGACTCTTGTGAGCCAAGTAGATGCCCCAGGGAAGTGTTCAAAAGATCCTCTGATAATAGCCTCCTGAGAAGAGCAAGAACACAGCCAAAAGCTATCTGGGATATGTGGTCATGGGCCAGGAACTGAGGGCCACATGTGCAAGGTTAGCCAGGGAGCACACGGCCCACGCCTATGAAGTGTTGTGTCTAAAGTTCCCGCTTACACTGGAGGGACAGTGGTGATGGCTCAAGTGTCTGGGTCTCTGATATCCACATGGGAGACCTGAGTTGACTTCCTGGCTTCTGGCTTTGACCTATCCCAGTCCTGGCTGTTGTGGGCATTTGAGGAGTGAACCAGTGGATGAGATCTCTGACTGTCGATCTGTCTTTTCTGTCTCCCAAATAAATTAAAAATAATGATAATAGAGTAGCCCCTGCTTCCTGGGGATGGGAGGCAACTGACTTTAACACTGAGCTTCTGGAAGTCTGACATTACAGGGAGTATCCAACAACCAGGAGGAAGGCTACAAATACCACCCCTTCTTCTGTGGTAGTTCCTCTCCTTCCTAGTCCCTGCTCCCACATGGCCTGGGGGCACTTGGACCTCCTGGTCCTTCACTCTACCCCAACTCCTGATGTTGTGACATCATCCCGATGCTGTGACCCCTAGGGGTCTTCATTAGCAACTGTATGCTCCCCCAAATCTCCATCTCCAGCATCGTTCCTGTCTTCTCAGGGTACTCTGACCCCAGCGGTCCCTCAGCTCTACAGGGTTTCCAGGCCATCCTTTTCCCGGCCCTTCCTGCTGGACTGGGCACCATCTACATCATCTTTGGTGCCCTTGCTCTCTTTACCATGGACATTCCTGGAGAAGGAAGACTTTTAACCATGGTTCACCCTACAGCTCTGCCATGCTGAAGCAGCCAAGTGAGCTACAAAACAAATAACTAAATAGCAACTGTGCTCAGTGATTCTCTCTAAGCTCATGGCCGTCAGCCTCCAATGGGGCTCTCAGGGCTACTGTGTTCCTACTCCTTTTGTTTAGTCAATTCACTCTGGCTCTTTCTATGACAATTGCAACTCCTTCTCTCTTCCACAAACCTCTAATAAAAGGTAGCAGGCTACCTTTTCTTTGGTCCCTGCAGACATCTTTGCTTCTTCTTTCA